CAGCAGGAACTTGAGCACACGAGGAATACAAAATAAACCCCAAAACTGAAATAACAAAAAAAGGGGTGAAAACAAACCCAGGACACTAGTTTCAGCCCAGTGGTCAATACTTGGTGTTTAACAGTGCACATTCAAGTATTACCTACACAAATGGAAAAAACATTATAAAAAATGTTTCCTCATTTGAATCCTTATGGCATGGCAAGTTTTACTGCACATATTTTTTTTTTTCCTAGGAAATCTGACTTGTCTCTAGGTGTGATGTTAGCTGAAGAAATTCACTAGGCTCCAACTGGCCAAGTAGATCAGTCAACTTGATTTCTGGTGCACCAAAACGTGTTTCAAAAGAATCAAGAGTTGCTAAAATTAAGAACTGCATTTTCCTTTGGATGGTACAAGAACACTGTTTAAATCATATACTTCTGTCAGAAGAATACAAGTATTTGGTACAAATCAGAGGCACTTGCCTTTTTGCTTCAACGGTAGCTACAATGCTTTGGATTGCTTCACCCTTCTATGTACATCAAATGTCCATTTTTACCACCAATTCCCTTTCTTGTCCATAGACATTATACTTCAGATCTTCCTTTTCTCTTTCTCCCTCCCTCTCCCCTTAAAAAGTAAAAATAAAAATAATAAAAAAAGTTATTTACATAAAATTCATCATTATACAAATCATTTGGTAATATTTTCAGCCATAGTCACTGAATACGGTTCCCATGGCTCTAACACTTTAGGAAAAGAAAGGAAAAAAGTTGTTAATATAAACCAGATCATCATCTGTACTGGACAAATACAGTTTAGATGGGTGGATCCATTTTTATTGTATAGCCCAACTAGAGATTTCCAACTTTTTAAACCATTACTGAGTAAAATTTCTAGTTAATCCAATGCCTCATACATCTAGGATACAGTATTCATCATATCATTTTATTGATCAGGTTATTACTGTAATGGTGACACCCCCACATCAAAGAAATGGAGGCAATGAAACTTCTCAGCACTGTCCCACAGCAGTTGTTTCTGCTATGGTGGAAAGCTGTTTGGCAGCTTTACTGCTCTTTTTGGACTGAATAGGACTTATAACAGTAGACCTCAGATGGCTGTTCTTCATTAAGGCTTCCACTGTAACCTACCTTATAGGTTTTCTGCAATATATAAACACTGTAAAGCTCACAATTATGCATTTAAAATACAGATGTGCTGTATACAGAGAGATTTGTACAGTTGTGACAATTGTACAGATCATGACAAAATGCTCTCAAAAATGGGATAGAGTAACAAAATAAACTCCATTATCTTTTGGATTTCCTGACTCAAGATACTATGAAAACAACTATAAAACATGAAAACAGCCTCTACAGTTGAAAAAAGCCAAAAATCCCCAAAACTCCAATAAAAAGGGTGCCAAAAAGACCCACTTATGTTAGCAGTTGTTAGAAAGGGGAACAAATATTACAGCCAAAGTACTATTGCAAAGAGACAGTAGAAGTAGCTCATCACTGTAAGACAAAGTCAAAATACAAAACTCTGTTCTCTACAGCAAGGCATATGCAACACGATTTTGCTTACGCAAGAGTACTAAAAAGGCAAAGCTCAACAGTGGCCTAGTAAAAGAATTTCCATATGATATACCAAGATCTGAGATCTACTAAAAATAATCTGGCATAGGCAAAAATATACAAATTATATTTTTTTCCTCTTTGCTTTTCCCTCATTTTTATCCTGCAATTGTTAAAATACAGTATCTTCCCAGCTTAGTTCTTTGTATAAAAATAATATTACAAAAAGCATTATGGAATACATTTCCACACATCCATTTTTGGTCCGCCACCTCACCCCTATTTAAAATTTTTCAAGCTAAAACTGCCCATCTTTCTTTACACTAAATACACAGAAATCTCCCTGGATATTCCATGTTGCTCATCCCCTCCTAACAGAAATGAACTTGCACAAACCTTCTCTTCACATACATCTTCCCCTTCTCCATTCAGTTCCCAACACTGATCACACACAGATGAAGGGAAGAGCAAATAGTCCTCCTCAGACCACCTTTCTCTCAGGATCATATGCTTGCAAGGCCTGTAGCTACCATTGATGCAATTATGGGCAAGTGTCTTTGTGGTGGTTCTAATAAACATTTTCTGCACAAGTGTAGCACAGCCTAGTGAGTTGGTGATTATTTCTGTTCCAATAAATGATGAGAAACAGCATGTGAAAGTATATTAGAAACCCCTCAGGGGAGGAGTTTTTCATTTTATGCTTTATTCAGGTACGGACTACTTTGACTTAGGTGGCACCCAAATTCTTTTGCTTAGTCCTTTGGTATAAAGAGATAATGCTTCGATCGTTCAGAGGCATCTTCAAAGAAATGACTGTCCTCTTCCAAACTTAATGCAAACAGATTGCCCTCTGCTTTCGTTCTTGGGGCTGCCGAGGTTCAGCCTTTGATGCTGAATAGTCTCTTTCTGCCTCTCTCTGCTTTCCTTCAAGCCAGTGAAGAGCTCTGGGTCAAGGGCGTCAAGGCATCAGATCTTCTTCTGGGATCCAATCATGACCTTTGATACAAAGTTCACAATGGCACTGGCAGGTTGCTCCAGGTCGTGCTCCGCAAATAAGTGACAAACGTTGTCCGTGGCACTGCCTTGCTTCCTGGCCACAAACCCAAACACTCTGCAAGGGCAAAACCACAGCACATTAGAGAACTGAGACACACACATGGCCTCCTTGCATAAATCAGAAAGGATACCAAGGCAACCAGAAGTACAACGCCTACCCAAAGGGTAGGGGGGTTCAAACTGTACTGTCCATAATATTGTCCCATTTTTTCAGGGTTTTTTTTCTATGAGCACGCTGTACTGTTCACTGTCAGAAATATGATACTGACCTGGAAGATACCTCATCTGACTCAGTACTGCTCTTATCTGTCTCGGAGATATCATGTGTGGTGAGCAGAGATGAAGGGCTGGGATGCTCAAAAAAGAGATTTTGTAGGCGACTCATCTCAGTGGATGAAGTATTTGAAATCTTTTTATTTTCTGAGATCAGCACAACCCTGAGTAAATGGAGAGCACTTCTCTCCATTCAGGCTTTTCCTTTCAGTAACAGGGGACAATGATGGTCTTCAACAGAAACTTGTGTAATCCACTGCTAATTATAAATTATGCCCAACACTCATGTCACTAGGGATTTCCTCCTGTATGTGCTGAATGTGGGATTTTCTTTTTTAAAAATCTGTTAGTCTAGGTGAGAAGAGTTTACTTCTCACCTAGCTAAAGCTTTTGTTAGCACTGTTTGGCTAAAGTGCCATAAGAGCATAAAAGTGAGCGCTAAATGGTTCTGTTTTAAATTCTGAATCTTCAGGTAAATCACAGACCTGCGATCCAAATAAACTTCATAACTCTGGTTCCAGATATTCCACCATCACATAACTTGGCCCTGACCTGCAGAGGTGCAAATGAAGTAAACCAAATGTAATGACACTAGTGGAGAAAGCGACTTTTACTTCTGAATAGCTACTCTCTCTTCTACATCACTGACAAAGATGACAGCTCATAATTTAGAAGACTAACAAACTGATCTCTAGTAATGATACTCCTAAAACTTTCAGTTAAAGCGACTCGGATAGGTGTCTACTTACTTTGCAGAAAGGCCATCTTTCATGCATCTTGTTGTCCACAAGAAAGCAGATTAAAAAAAAATAAAAAGGATACCTGTTAGATCTTTCAGCTCAACAAATTAAAATACTATAAATAGTGCTTATGTTTCTTACTTTCTGTCCTGTGGATCCAAAGCACAGAAAATAACTGTGTTGACAGGATAATGTCGACGAAAAAAGAGTCTGGATAGGAAAAAATAGTAAATGTTTCAGGCATGCTTAGGATGTTTAAAATTTTAACACTAAATGGAACAGAAAAATAGATTTCTAAATTTAATAATGACAATATATTCTTTTTGCTATCTCTTAGTGACACTGAAAACTACATAATTTACTTAAACTAAATAAATTAGTATTTAGAATAGGACCATCTAATTTTGGATGAAGGAAAACTAACTCTCAAGCTAACTTAGAAGGATCATATGCATCTTTCTAAACACTAGCTATTCAGCTACAATGCCAGTGGGAAACACAGCTTCTTGTAATTTGTGAAAAATTAAGTTATATTCAGTTTGTGAATGTGAGCACTCCTGGAAATTGTGATTGAGGGTTTTTCCTTGACTTGTTACAAATGTTTGCAGATTAGGTTCCCTGCAATTAGGAAGTCAGGCTTTTACCATCCCTCCTTTGTAAAACCCAGTTTTCAAATCTAAGGAGTTTGCAGTAGCCTCAATAGTACTCACTGCGATGTAAATTTAAATTAACATTTTATCACAGTATTTTACATTGTAAACTACTGTAGTTTACACAGTAGGCATTGGACTAAAATATTTCAAATACTTGGAGGTGGCTGCTTTGGCCAACTCCATTCAGTGGTATTGATAATGGCTACAGTGAAGATGAATTATTTCAGTAAATAGGCTGAATACTGGATGTTGGCAAAGCCACTAGAATTACTTTCTCTTTTTTTCTAAGAAATAATAACAATGAAAAAAATGTCATGGCAAAGTGACCTTCCAGACACAGAAACTGACATGTGCCCATAGCTTAAAATATTCATCTTCCAGCACTGCACATGGTCCACAACCTGGAAGGGGGACCAGACATTATCATTCTTTGGACAATCCTATTTTGTTATAATCTGAGATAGAGACTGCAAAACATAACTAGGAAAAACAACAGCAAGTGATATTTGTCTGGGACAAGGCTGGATATTCTCTTCCCATCCCTCATTTGCTTACTTTCTTTGATTATCTGTCAGTGTGATGCCCTGTGCAGACACCTTGAAATGGACCACGGTTGAGATGGGCGAAGGATCTTGCATCAGTGTCAGGCTTAAAGCTTTCTGCACAGCCTGGTAGCCTGTGAGGGACTCCATCTCCACTGAATTTAGATACCACACATTACATGCTGTAAGAAAAGAGGGAAAAGACCTTGAGGTTATCACTCAAACAGAATCAAACAGGAATTAAAAAAAAAAAAGAATTTTTACATAGGTGAATTTTTCACCTATGTAAAGTGACAAAGAAAGAGGGCTGACCACAAACTACCATATTTTCTGCTTATTTGTGCTTCATCTTGTCCCACTGTTGCTTCGTAATTTAAGATAATTCAGAGACCTTTTAACTCTCCCTTTGGTTCAATGCTTGTATGCTACCTATGACTAACAGATGCTCCTGAAATTTAATAAATAGCAGATAGCAGGAAACAGAGAGGCCATTTATAGCTACTACTACAACAACTATTAGTAAACACAATTCTGATGGGGAAGAATGGGAACATTTTGCCTTTAAGTTCAATTAAAGCAACTAATAAGAAAATACACATTTTTGCAACACCAGTTCACAGATGCTCACACTTTCAAATGGTGTTTAAACTATATTCAGAAGAAACTATTCATTTCTTTTTGGCAAGACACCCTTTCTCCCTAAAAAGAAGTGAGGACTGCTGCAACATTCACTTCTCTTTACTTCCATTGTGCTTTTAACACTGACTTATTTTAGAGTGAACAAAACTTCTACAAATAAAAACAGTAATTGCATCTATACTTTTATGTCTATCCTTTAACTCAATATGTTTCAAGGTTTAGAGACCTATTCCACTCCCAAGGTGGTACCTACAATTGGGGGGGAAAAAAAACTCTCTGATTTGTGTTCATATCTGGAACCAGATCTAGATGAAGTTATCATCTCTGAATTTTATTTCTTAGAGATATTATAGAATACTCTTTATAAAGAGTTGGTTTCTGAGGCTCCCAAACAGTTAAGCTAATTCCTGGTCACAGACATCAAATCTGCAGCAAGCACTGGGACACTATGCAGGAGATTATTTATTAGGAACATTCACATGCTGAAATACTTTGGGCCTGTGATATAAAGTCAAATTTACAAGCAGGTTAAGAACATTTCTTAAGAACATTTCTGAACCTGAAAGAGCCTTCTTAGTCTCCCTCTACCACACAAGCAATCATGATTAAACACATCCAAGGCTAAACACAGCTACTAACAGACTTTGTGTTTTGGTAAACACATTTGTGTATGTACTGGTAAACACATTTGTGTAGGTGTCCAGGACAGAATTTACAACTGTGGCAGCTGATGTGTGCATATTAGTGTGCTACTATTTGACTTTTTAACACTTCAGCATGGCTTGCCAATCTTATTAGAAAAGCAAAGATTTCATTTAATCTTCATTTAATTTCATCTAATAGCTTCTCCTTTCATATGGCTATTCTGTGATTTGAGAAAAGCTTTCTTCTCCTATTATCTATATAAAATACACAGCTAAGCTATGCCACTTCTCCTGCTATTATCTATATAAAACAGGCAGCTAGGCTCTGCTACTCTCAAAACAACCAAGCAGCTGTACAGCTGTAGATTGCATGAGCGTAAGTTTGAATCCAGCATGACTATCAGGCAAATTCTATGCTTGCTTCCTGCCAATAACTTCAAGCTCTGGAGGCTGTCAGTGAGAAAAGGATTTGATCTGTAAGTGAAAAAAAAATTCCCACAGATATTTTTGTACTGGTGTTCAAGTCTCAATAACCTTTGCTTGAATTAATTATAGTGCAATTCATACAGAGGGGGATTTAAGCAGTTGAACAGCAAATTCGGTGAAGCCTTCATCACCAAGCAGCTTTCTGTCATGTCGGTCCAAGATTGCAAATGACATTCTAAAGCATAAACTTTCTTCTTTTCACCTCGTTACCGTATTCATTTGATCCAGATCTAAAGCTCCTCATTATCCTGTTAATTTTTCCTGCCACAAGAAGCTTGCCTTGTTTCGCAGCCACATTCCTAACCATTTCTGAGGCTCTTATGAAGGGATTCCCTTCCTTTTGTGCCAAGCATTGCTCTGTTGTCAACAGGCCATATTTAGGTTTTGTTCCTAAACAAAATAGCTAACTCTAATTCTAGACTGTCCCCCAATGCGGCAATTCAAAAGCAGTTACTAAATACAATACATGATTTTACTTTCTATTGAATGATAAAGAATTCTCAGAAGTGCTGGAAGGCACAAAAATATGTCAGGTTAAAAATGAGACTACAGGGAAGGAAGGTTATTGGAAAGGCTGAAAATTCTCTCATTTAAGAACATCTATATTATAATCTAGGCAGCTGACATGGTGAATGGCAGTGATCCCACAAAAACTCTGTTCAAGGCAAAAAGAGAAGGAAAAAGTCTGTGAAACAGCATCTTTCCTGTAACATAGTTCTCCCCATCTTTCACAGCTGCCATTTTGTAAATCATATTGGTATTAGCAATGACAACTATCCATTGTGGTCATCTTCAGTAAACCATGCTGCTTTTAACTTGGGAATGTAGCTTTGCCTGGAATGGTTAGTCCCTTGACTGCAGTAGGATATTATAACAGACACAGATATGAAAAATTGGCATTTATTTGGGGAACCCAGTTTTGCTGTTCAACAAGAAGGTTAGTAAAACAAGGTCTATTCTAGGAAAGAGCCACTTATCTGAACAGATCCTAGTCTTCAGTAGTCATTCTCCAGGAAGCAAAGGATTTGTCAGTTAGTGACTGTACTTAGGTAAGGACCGGAAATGCTCATTAGGTTTTTCAGACACCTATAGAAATGGTTATTCTAGGCCTGCACATCTTTGGTTTTTCACATGTTGAGTGGAAGAAGGTTGGGGCAGGGAAAAAGGGAGTCTGCTTTAACTAAATTGCACTTCAGGATCTCAGCGTCAATGGGGAATGCAACAACTGGTTGCAGTCACACAGGCTGTGTGACTGGAGAGATTTCTGAAATAGGCAAAGTCATTGACAAATGAAGTGCAAGGGCCAAACACTCTCAAACTATTTCTTATAACTTCTCTTTTCAGGTTTCAAAATCTTGATTAAAAATAAAGGCAAAAAAGCAAAAAAAAGCATTGGTGTTACTAAATTCCCCAAATGATCCTCAGTTTGACAGCCTGCATATGAAGTGATCTAACTATTGCCCTAACTGAAGCTGAAGAATTATTTTTCTTTGCCAAGCTTTGCCTGAAGGAAAAAATAGCATTTTTCAAAAGGCAACACATGCCTGTTCTGCAGCATTTGTTTACAGATTTTTTCCTCTTGCTTTCCTCCACCTTGGCTTTTGCCCTGTTGGCCACAGCCACCACCAACGGCAGCATGAAATGCTTGCATGTGCTTGCTTCTAGCATAGCCTCATCAAGGCT